TCGAAGAGGCAAGCTCAGATATCAGAGAGGCATCTGCTTTTCCAAACGTGTCAGCATCTGTCACATGCAGAGTCAGCTTTGCGGAAATCACGGGCAGTTTGTCGAATCGCCAATTCCAGATATTGGACAGGCATCTGTTTTGCCAGACGTGTCAGCATCTGTCACATGCAGAGTCAGCTTTGCGAAAATCACAGGTAGTTTGTCGAAGCGCCGATTCCAGATATCGAAGAGGCACTTGCTTTTCCAGACGTGCCAGCGCCTGTCACATGCACACTCAGCCTTACGAAAATTACGGGCAATTTGTCGAAGATCTCTTGTGAAGTAGAAAGCATGGAAGTTTACTATTAAATAATCCAACGGTTGCTGACAAGAGTGAAAGAATAGTACCGGTTATTAATTCCTATAAATGTCACCCTTCACCCTCCATTGCAAGGCAGACATACATAACCCTTCTTCTTCTCCGAGAATGCCTTTCCAACAAACCCTCTCGAGTCACTCAGTGTTCTTTATTCCTTGGGGTACCTCTGTAAACAACTCATCTAAAGCAAAAGTATTTCATATCATGAAGGTTGAAAGCAAGAGTATCTCATATCATGCTTTCTCCCTGTCCTTCTCCTTGTCGTTGTTTTGGGACAAGGAGAAAGAGAGCAATCGGCCAACACTTGGTATCAATTTTTCGATCTGGAACCAATTGCCTGGAACCCTTTCCTGATTGCTTACCTAGCCTTGCTTTCGAGTACTCATCTTCATCATCTTATGCTTTCTCTTCGTCTACCTAGACTTGGCAGTTTCTGACACGACACGAAAATAACGGGTTTCGGGTCAACATGATAATTTATCGGGTCATTATCGGGTGACCCGTTAAGAAAAAAATTAATTTGATAATTTTAAAGTTTAATTACTAAAAGATTTATTATAAAATACAATAGCCATATTAATATATACAATATATTCTATATTAAATATATAGTTTTGTATTATTATTCTATATAAGTTATAAAAAAAGTTTTAGTCATTATTTATTTTTAGGGGCTTTTAGATCTAGGTCCAAAAATATAGATGATTTTTAGGAGTGAGTCCAGTTATATAATTACATGTTATTTCTTTTATACTCATTTATATTTTTTTTAAATATTAAAAATCAATTAAAATCTTCTAATATGAAGCATTTTTCAACTCCAAAAAATCTAATTAATATCTTATAACAGAAAAAACTAATATACTAACATAAATTATCTACAAAACATTCTACCTTAACTCAAACAACAAATATATGAATATATATTATACCTGTAAGTGAGATATGAAACCTAACTAAAAAGTAGGAAAAACATAATATACCTACAAGCGAAGCAAGACACATTAATCTGTAACACGTTAATTATAAAGAAAAATTTGTCATATAGATACATAAAAATAATTAACCTGTGATATAGGTTGATTATAAAAATTAAAAATAAAATGTATAAATGAGGTTTAAAGAGGGAGGAAGAACAAAAAATAACAAAATAATAATAATAATAATAATCAAAGAGATAATTAGGAAGAAATTTGATTTTTATAATAAATCTTATTATTGAATAGATAATTATTGATAATTAAATAATTAAATTTAAAGAATTGGACTTATTTTAATAAATTGGACTATTCCTACTATTGGCTAAAAAAAATGGACTTATATCAAGTTTCCCCTTATTTTTATTATGAGAGTTCTTTATTATCATTACTAATTTACTAGGATAATAAATTTTACTTAACAGTTAACATGTTCTTGTCCAAAATTAAAATAAACTAGTATGATATTTGTATAGGCAAGAACTAAGAAGACATACAGGCAAGAACTAAGAAGACATACATACATACAAACACTTGCGATTCATCATTATTCCTCTACGAGAGTAGATAATGGTTACACTTTATCGTTTAGATTTTTAAAATCCTCCCAAACCCTCATGAATAATGTTTTTTATTTGAAGGCAAAATTAATAAAATTAATAATAATTATTGTAGAAGTGTAAAAAATGTAAAAAAAATATCCAATCACTCATAATGACAAGCTTTACAATTTTCATGAAGGGGTCAACTTCGAAATCCAACACTATAATCCATAAACCTTCAATTTATATTTAACCGTCGATTATCATTTACGCTTTATTCTTGTTACTGAATTTCATTTTTTAAATTTTCATTTTTTAAAACATGATCATCTGGTGGATGTAAGAATATGAACGGTTCAGATCTTTGATATCACGTTTCGATATTTACGGTTAATTGAAATATGAGTCGATGTCATATAGTTTGTATAAACTTTATAAACATCAAGCAATATTTTCACTAATCGTAAAACTCTAAACATAATATCAACGATCCAAACCGTTCATCTTCTTGCATCCTCTAATAGATCATATTTTCAAAAAAGAAAATCTGAAAAAACAAAATTTGATGAGAAAAATAAAGCGTAAATGTAAATAATAATCAACGGTTAAATTTTGATCTATAATTTATATAATTATAGTGGCGAATTTCGAAGTTAAGTTCTTCACGAAAGTTGTAAAGCTTGTTATTACGAGCGTTTATATATTTTTCTATATTTTTTATACTTCTACATTAATTAAAAAAATATTAAAGACTTTACATAAATAACAGCCGTTAGATCAATGAGATTAAATCTGTACCGTTGGATTCTATTTCAATTATATTATTACAATTTTTTTGGACAAAAAAACCCCTCATATTTTCCATTGTTTTCCATATGAGTCCTAACTAATTTGATCAAAACAAAAAAACCCCACTGCCTAGCCCTAAATTCTTTCTGTCTATTCTCTCCCCACTCCCGGCCGTAACCCTCTCTCCCAACCCGCTTGCGGCGCCGTTTGTTCTTCCTAGCCCCTCTCTCCCGCCGTCTTTCTTCCAAAATTCTGACAGCCACGATCTTCTCGTCTTCCATTTGTACGACATCTTCCTATGTAAGTATTTCTCCCTTTTCAACCTTTCTTTCTCTTCACTCTTTCTACGCTCATATTTCCCATTTCTGACCACGAACAATTGACACAACTTCTTGCTTTGGATTCCTCTCTTCCTCTTGTTGATATCTTCAGTGTTACATTGTCCAGGTAAGAAATTCGTTGTCATCATCTATTGTTGTTTTTTTTATGAATTAGGATTGGACACCCAATTTTTCCCTCGCTTTGAACACCCAGTTTTGATATGCGTTCATGTCCGATTACACTTGGTACAATTTTGATTGTTTTGTTTTCAATTGTGCATTAAACATCTAAAACCTAAAACTTGGATAACACTCACCCATGTTACAACTCCCATTCGACACTTTCGCTGATCTGTGTATCTCAATTTTTTTTTTTTAAATTGATGCTTTTAATGACTTTATGAAAAATAATTTTATGCTTGAAAATTTGGAATGAGTTGTTTTTTATGATTATTAGCAGTGATTTTCACATGCACTTTGTTTTCTCCTTTTATACTCCTTTTTTGGGCTTCTTGATATCTAAATGCTAGAGAATACAAGCGAGTGCAAAGAAGAAAATAAAAGTTTGAAAATCGCTTTTTATTTGTATATGTATTGAGCTAATTGTGAGTAAGGATAACAATTTTTATTTGTATATGTATTGAGCTAATTGTGAGTAAGGATAACAATATTTGAATGAAATCTGGTGTGTGTGTGTGCGCGCGCGCGCTGTGTGTGTGTGCATGTGCTCTGTGTGTGTGTTGTGTGTGTCTGTGTCTATTCTTCCACAACCTTTTGAAACACTCTTTTATATGAATTAGTTTTTTTTTCATATCTAGCTAACATCTAAACTACTAGATCATGTTGTGTGTGTGTGTGTGTGTCTGTCTGTCTGTGTACTGCAAGTCTGCAACCCAGTGTGTGTGCTATTAGTGCTTGACAAACCTGCAACCATGCATAAAACCAAGGCAAAGAAGTTGTGTTCTCTCATCGGATTCTACATTATCAAGTCTATGTGTGTGTGTGTGTGTGTGTGTGTGTGTGTGTGCTGTGTGTGTGTGCTTTGTGTGTGTGTGTGCGCTGTCTGTGTGTGCGTTGTGTGTGTGTGCTCTGTGTGTGTGTGTATGTGCTCTGTGTGTGTGTGCGCTGTCTGTGTGTGCGTTATGTGTGTGTGCTCTGTGCGTGTGTGTATGTGCTCTGTGTGTGTGTGTTGTGTGTGCTGTGTGTGTCTGTGTCTATTCTTCCACAACCTTTTGAAACACCCCTTTATATGAATTAGTTTTTTTTTTTTTCATATCTAGCTAACATCTAAACTACTAGATCATGCTGTGTGTGTCTGTGTCTATTCTTCCACAACCTTTTGAAACACCCCTTTATATGAATTAGTTTTTTTTTTTCATATCTAGCTAACATCTAAACTACTAGATCATGCTGTGTGTGTGTGTCTGTCTGTGTGTGTGTACTGCAAGTCTGCAACCCAGTGTGTGTGCTATTAGTGCTTGACAGACCCGCAGCCATGCATAAAACCAAGGCAAAGAAGCTGTGTTCTCTCATCGGATTCTACATTATCAAGTCTATATATTAATTTGCATCAACTATTTACTTTGGGCACCACTTTCTCTCCATGCATTCTTCTTGCTTTTTCCGGTCTTAGAACTGATAAAAAAAGAGAAATAAATGCATAATGAAAAGAACAAAGTGTGAAAATCACTACCTCTTCGTATATCATTTAAACGTCATTTTATATTTTCAATCTTGAACGGACCTACATGTTTTTTAGGTTGAACAATATATTAAAATAGTATTATTTTCTTGACAATTTCTTGTAGGTTCATATGTAAATTATATTCTTTACAGCTAGCTCACTGTTGTGTGTGTGTGTGTGTGTGTGTGTGTGTGTACTGCAAGTCTGCAGCTCACTGCTGTGTGTGTCTGTCTGTGTGTGTGTGTGTACTGCAAGTCTGCAACCCACTAGTAATATCCTACTAGTTTAAAAAGCTATTAATTAATTTATACCCATTTTGATTCAGAAGCAATGGATGCTAGAGATTCAAATTCAGTAACCGATGAGGAGTCCGTGGAGATTATAATGGGAACAGAACGAAATCTTGGAAGCGAAAGTATAGACAATACAAATTCGAGTTCTACAAAGAAAAAGGCTAGAACAATCAATTTAGGTAAGCGAAAAATTCGATCTCCTGTTTGGAACACTTTCACTAAATTGGATATTATTTTTGAAGATAGTAAAAGACGCACTCAATGTAAAGCTTGTAAGAAGGTAATGATAGATGATATTCATCATGGGATAGGAAATATGAAAAGACATTTGAATACATGCCCTGCAAAGAATAATGTTGAATTGTTTATGTCGGCATCTGAATTGTGTTCCCAAAAGTTTGATCCTCTGGTATTCCGTGGCTTATTAGTAGAGGCAATCATCAAGCATAATCTTCCTTTTAATTTTGTTGAACATGAGGGAATCAAGGCTTTGTTTGCATATGTATGTCCTGATATTAAACTACCATGTCGAAATACTATCAAAGCTTGTGTGTTGAGGATGTTCAAAACTGAAAAACAAGCATTGCATAATTTGTTAGGCTCGGTTGAAGGTAGAATTTGTTTGACATTAGACTTATGGTCATCTCAGTGCACTGATGGGTATCTTGCACTTACTGCTCACTTTGTAGACAAGGATTGAAAATTGAATAAAAGAATTATAAGTTTTTGTCACATGCCTCATCCGCATACTGGTGTTGCATTATGTGAGAAAATAAGTGCGTTGGTAACTGAGTGGGGGATTGAGAAGAAGTTATTTTCTATTACTTTGGATAATGCTTCTTCAAATATTTGTTTTGTTAACATTTTGAGGAATCAATTAAATATAGAGGTCTTCTCTTGATGAATGGTGACTTCTTTCATGTGCGTTGTTGTGCTCATATTTTGAATTTGATAGTCCAAGATGGACTTAAAGAAATTGATTCTTCGGTGGTAAAAATTCGTGAATGCATCAAGTATGTAAAGGGTTCTGAGGCTAGGAAACTAAAGTTTCAAGAATGTGTTAAGCAAGTAGGGATAATTGATAGTAAAAGAGGTTTGAGACAAGATGTCCCTACTAGATGGAACTCAACCTATCTTATGCTAAATAGTGTCATTTTCTATCGATATGCTTTTATTAATTTAGGGTTGAGTGATTCAAATTTTGAAAGTTGTCCTACTTCTGAAGAGTGGGATAAAGTGGTAAAGATTTCGAAGTTTTTGGGGTACTTTTATGATGTTACATGCTTATTCTCTGGGACAAAGTACCCCACATCAAATTTATTCTTCCCTAAAGTGTTCGTAATTCAGCTTCAAATTAAGGCAGCCATTGATGATTGTGATAGTTTCATGAATAAGATGGGGGATTATATGCACATGAAGTTTCAAAAGTATTGGTCAAACTACAGTTTGATTATGTCAATTGCAATCATCTTGGATCTTCGTTATAAGCTACATTTTGTGGATTGGGCTTACACAAAGCTTCATGGCGTGAATTCTATGGAATATAAAAATGTTCATGGCACATTGATTGCTCTCTTTAATGTGTACTCAGAAATATCTGCTCATCTTAATTATTCAAATATTCCAATGAACTCAATGCCTAATCATCAAACAGAAGGTGGAGAAGGAGATGCTCTCTTTGAGGTAACATAAAGTTTGTATTTTCCTTTTTATACTTAGTACTTTAAAATTATTAATATTATATTTGAAATTGGGTTATGCATAATTTTTAAGATGTTTCTGTTTTTTTTTTTTTTAATTTTTATGATGTAGGATTTTGATAATAATTACAATGGTCCAAACTCGGTTAAAAAAGGTGAATTACAGAAGTATTTGGATGATAAAATAGTAGATAGAAGACAAGATATAGATGTTCTTTCTTGGTGGCAAATGGAGCGTTTTCATTATCCAATACTTTCTCAGTTAGCACGAGATGTGCTAACAATTCCTATTTCAACTGTTGCTTCAGAATCTGCTTTTAGTATTGGGGGTAAAGTGCTAGATCAATATCGTACTTTATTGTTGCCAGACACGATTCAAGCTTTGCTGTGTACACGAGATTGGCTTTTTGGAAAAGGAGGTAGTATATCGTTTTTATAATATAAAACTATTTTTTATTTCTTTTCATAATTATTTTTAGTACCCATAATTTGAATGGTTTACATACAATGTTTGATTTTTCTATGTTTAGTTTATGCGGAAGAGAGTGCTAATGTGGAAAGCCTCAATGAAAGCATCTTCAATATAACTCTTGAAGATAATATATCAAGCCAAAATTCCAATACTTTTTCCCACGGTGATTGAGGAAAATTGAAGGGTTTGATTGGAAGAAAATGTGCAAGATGTTCTAATGTTCCAATGTCCTTAATTTTGCAAATCTTTTGAACATTTGATATTTTGTAATGTTCTAATGTTTTTTTTTATGCTCTTATTTTGGATATGTAAATATATACTTAAAACGAAAATTGTGTTTTTATGTTTTGGTTTTGGATGTGACAATATGGTACGTATTATCTATCGTTATAGACCATACCAACAAATAATATTACTATTTGGAAGCAGGGGTATGGGTGTGAATTAAATTGGTGTACACATATTGGCTCTAGCAGACTCTAGAAAGTCTAGGTTATGTCCATTGTGTATGGCATCACACTCGCAATAAGGTGGGCAATGGAATCCCTTGCATAATCATAGTCTCATATGATCTCCTTTATTGTCAGTGCCTATAGGCATGGCAATCGTTTATATATCCTCCTGTTAATTTCACCAATCAAATAACTGGGCCACATGCATTCCTTTGACAGTAGATAATTTATGCTCTTATTTTTATTGTCGCGCCTTTTTTCTTTCATTCACTTATTGCTTCCTAAACCTTTTTTTTCCGCACAAAGCTTCCTACGCCATAGAACTCACCATCATTGCTATGGTGCTTTGGTAATTCTAATGGCACATAGCAAGAGTAGTCTTCGTCGGTGGCCTGCAATACCATTCTTGCACGGTTAGAAGATTGATTTGTGTTTTGGTTCTAATCAAGCAATTGTGGGTTCAACCTTTTTTTCACTCAAAAAAAGTATTATGTTTTTTATTTAATTATTTATTGGTTTAAATTATATTTTCCTTAAAGGGTAACGGGTCGGGTCATATTACCTATTAATATTATCGGGTCGGGTCATTTTATCCGTTTATTTTAACAGGTGTTACACGACACGACCAGTTAAGATATCGGGTATGACACAAAAACGACACAAACATGGGAAACACGACGCAAATGCCAAGTCTACGTCTACCACATCTGCCTGGGGAACATATAAGGGAAGTGAAAATGATACCTCGAAGCATGTGGAGACAATTTGCCAATTCATCCTCAACTAGGGACAAGGAGAAAGAAAGCAAGAGGTGGGCACTTGGAAAGATTAAAGAAAGAAACAGACCAACACCTCTACCTTGTGTCTGCCTGCCGTGCAGAAGAAACATGCAGAGAAGAATGCAGATTGCACAATCAAATCAACCCAGCAGAATGAGTCTGAATTGAAACCAATGAACTATCATATTCCTCGCTCAGAATTCCAAACCAGTTCGAGATCAAAGCTGTAGAAAGACAACAAGATCATCTATCTCCAAAACCAGATTTGCGTTCTTAAACTCTACTCTGTCTGGTTTTTACTTTGCCATACTTGTCATATTTATTCGTTGTTTGTTTGTTTGCTTGTTTTTTGTGTGAGTTTATGCTTGAAACATTGAGGACAATGTTTGATTTAAGTGTGGGGGGGCTAACCATTGTTTTGCATGAAATTCGTAGGAGTTTATTACCCATTACTTCTAGTGTTGTTCCTTGCTGTTTTAAGTGTTTTTAAGCTATTTTGGAGTGTTTCAGTGTGTTTTGACATAAAAATTGGAAAATCTCATAAAATTTTGAAAAATTGTTTTGAAAAACCCAAAAAGAGTTGTTTTTATATGTTTATTTGTGTCTTAGGGTACCTTCCAACACAATGATGAGGATTTAGTTTTTAATTACATGACTGTTAAAGAGAATTATAAACATGGATAAAAATTTGATTTACTCTTTGGTGTATGCTTGGTTGTGGTTATAATTTATGAATTCACATGCAATCATAAAGGAAAAATCTGTTTTGTAACATGCTTGAATGAAGGAACTCAAATGTACGCTACAACCTTATGAGACTTGAGCCTAAATGTTTATTTGGAGAGTTAATAATCTGTGCATCATTGTTTTCTAAAGTCGTTGCATGATCTCATTATTCTTTGCTTGGTTGCTACTTAGAAGCCGTTTCATCATTTAGTTCCAAATGCTAGAACTCATGCCTATTTCATTCAAAGCATGCTATTGATTTGCATAACACATTTTCAAACTGAAGTTGTGTAATGACCACCAAAGCCAAATTGTCGTGCCCCTATTTCATTATGTGTTTAAGTTTAACCCCGTTGAGCCTTGTTAAGCCTATGTTCTTTGTTAAACCACACTATCCTTACCTAGCCTAGTTTGAGGACCATCCATACCCTTGTTCTTGAAGCATGGTAAAGCATGACTTAAAATGAACTCATTTTTTATCAATGTATTGCAGAAAGCAAGTGTGGGGGAAGTGATTCTTGTGTGTGTGTGTGCGCGCCAAAGTCCTTAATAAGTCACGGGTAGAAAAGAAAAAAAAAGTGAAAAGAAAAAAGTTTGTTAAAAAAGGGTCCAAAACATTGAATTCGGCCCTAAGTGTTGCATGAATCTTCCCTTTGTATTTAAAAGTTGATTCTGTATTCTAAAGTGAATTCCAAGTGTCTATTTCATTGCTTTGTTTGCTATCACTTTAAGAAGGTTTGTTATTCCTATCCTTTCTTTATTAGCCATTACCCCCAAGCCCTGTTACAACCCTTGACTTCAATCTTGAGTGTTGTGTGTTTCAATTTGTGGAGTTCGAAATTGGTATGAGCATATGATATCACTGGTTCTCGTATCTAAGTAGTAGCATTCCATTCATGAGATCATATCTAAACATGCTTAATAACTCCAGAAAATTGCTTTCTTTGTTATAACATATGTGAGTCCTAGTCTTTCGTGTTTACATTAATCTTCTCACATATACTAGTGTAGGGTGTGTAGTCAGAAAATGTGTGTGAAAATAGAGAGTATCTTATAAGGAATTGAGCAAATTCTCTAAGGCATGTTACTACATTCAAAACATTGTTTTAATTAGTTAATTGTGAACTAGTAAGTAGTGACTATGATTAAGTTTGTGCTCAAGTGTGAAGATAACCAAAATATGTGGGAATGATGATTTTTAACATGTCATGTGTATTGGAAATCCCTAAGGTAAATGTTGGAAGGTTAGGTTGTGTTTTGTTTGTTTTGTTTCATTTTGTTTCTTTTGTTTTGCTCGAGGACTAGCAAAAGCTAAGTGTAGGGGAATTTGATAGAAGCATATTTATGCAACTTAGTGAGCTTGTTTCTTGGCATTTACTTAGTTTAATTCCAGTTATTTTAATACTTTAAGCTATTTTCTTGTGTTTGTAGGTTCAAATAACAAAGTTGGCAACAAAGTGCTATTTGGAGCACTTTGGAGCATTTTTGGGCCAAGATTGGATAGTGCAAGCATGGAGACATGAGGATGGACGTTTTTGAAGATTACAAGGCTAGAAATCAGCATGTGTGTGTGCAAGTGTGTTGACCTACAACTACAAACACTCATCCACTACACCCATTACATCCACTCATTACCAAACATCCATCAACTACACCCATTACATCCACTCATTACCAAACATTCATCCATTACACCCATTACATCCACTCATTACCAAACACTCACCCACTACACCCATTACATCCACTCATTACCATAACATACAACACTACCACCTTAATTAGATGGTGGTCCTCTCCCAAGCCTATAAATACATCCACCCTTCACCATAACAAGGGATGAGAAAAGATCCATCCAAAGACACTACATTCACATCTCACAACTCCATACACTTACACTTTCATTCCTTGGGTGAGAACACAATCCACCCATCCACCCTTCACCATAACTTACCTATATCCATCCACCACCATAATTTACCACTCATCCATCAAACCACACCTTGTGCCGCAACAAAGAGAAAGAGGACCCTTGGACATGCTTGCCATTCAAGTTGGATTGTTGGAACGTTTTTAGGTGTTTTCATTCTTTTGTTTTCAATGTCTAAATTTGTTTATCTTTGCTTTGTGAGTATGAGGAACTAAACCCCCTTTAGCTAGGGGAAATTTGAAACCATGTTCATGCTTGCAATATGATTTGATTACCTTCAGTTGTGATTTCATAAGTTATGAATTCAATTTGTTTAACTGCTTGATAGATAACTTATTCGTGTATGTTTATTAAGAGTGCACACTTAGTTTGCATGCATGAATATGATGCTAGAGTATAAGGGAGTTTCACCTAATAGTTACAAACTTATATTCACAAGTAGTGGAGGTCGCTTATAAACGATCGCGTTAAATAAATTCTTGGCAAGAGTTTCATGCTCATCATAGTAACGAATGCCTCGTCAATACTTATAGTTTTCATAATGCTTAATGATCTTAATGATCTTTGATTGTATCTTTATTGTGCTATTCACGTAAAGAACTTTTGAAGAATGCTTGAATTGTTGTATGCGCTTTCCCATCCAATTCAACAACTTAAAGAGAACTTGAAGGTTAATTTAAGCGGACTTAATTAACCTGGGGTGTTGAGTTTCATGATTGATCGAAAGAACAACTGAAAATTGGTTTATGTGCAAGTATGTCATGTGTGGAGAAGAACCTCCTAGCTAGCCTTCCATCCATTCAATTTACTCAAATTCGTGCAGATTTCATTAGTTCTTTAATTTACTTGTTTTGTTTTCAAATCAAACGATTTTGAGAGCTTTTGTTTATTGTTCACTATATAGTTTACAATAAACTTAGTGAACCATTTGGATAGGGACACAAAGGTAAAGTCCTTGCCTAGTTTCCGTCTCTAGAAGTGGTTTAACACTTCAACACTCAATGTTTCAAAATCATCATAAGTCCATGTTGATGGACTATATTTGTCAACCAACCATTATGTTCTAAACATAATTACAAACTTTCAAGAGTTGTTCAAGGCAACTCTCATTTCTTCATACAACAATTTGTAAGTGAAGAATTATGGCACATAAAGTGTCCATGCCCTTGTGCTTACTTCTCAAGTTCCTTGTTCATGTAACAAAGAAACAAGCACTAATGTTTGCGTTAGCTAAGGGTTGTTCAAAGCAACTCTTATTTCTTCATACAACAATTTGTAATTGAA